GGTCCGGGCAGGCAGGATGGGACCCGTCCTGCGCTCTGGGTGATTGCCGCGAGCACTGAGCTCGGGCATTCGGGATGAACACCGACCACCCCATTGTCTTGCCATGTCACCATCGCTGCCGTGCTCCCTGGGCGAGGGGAGGCTGCGCTGGGACAAACCAGCTGGGCAGCAGCAGCCTGCACCCCCCACTGGGGTTTCTTTTTGGGGGGTGGTGCCTGTGTCGTTCGGAGCACTGCTGTCATTCTCTCTGTGATAGGCTCGGTCTTAGCCCGGGTGTGGGCTCTGCCCTTGCCCACGGGTGGGAGCGGGCGGCGTGGGTGCTAGGCTCAGCAGGGGGTCCGTGGGCCGAGGGGGGCTGAGGTCCAGCTTTCCTCCCGCAGGGCGTACGTCTCTCTTTTCATGAGACATCTGTGTGAACCTGGGGCAGACGGTGCCGAGACCTTTGTGGACGACATTCCCCGGGAGGGACTGTCACGCCAGCACGTGGTGCCGAGACCTTTGCGGACGGCGTTCCCCGGGAGGGACTGTCACGCCAGCACGTGCTGACTCGCATTGGAGTCATGTCGCTAGTAAGGAAGAAGGTGGGTGAGTACGATTTTAAACGGGCTGTTTCAGGTGTGTTCTCCTGGGTTTCACTGGCCGCTGAATGCCTCTCACCAGGGATTCCCTCCTGAATCTCCCGGGCACAGCGCACACCCATTTTTGCATTTTTGTCACAAGTACATAGGTGACAGTAATGCCAACTGCCTTCCAAACCTGCTGCTGCTTTCCCTGGGAGGGACAGAGGATGCGCGGGTATTTTATAGTCTGTCTGGCAGAGAGGAGAAGTCCTGCTGGAGCCTCGTTGGGTCTCAGGGCCGTAGTGTCAGACGTCCCTGGCAGGGTGGGGACAGCGATCTGCTGCTCTGTGCACCTGGGGGTGAAGCGGCCTGAGCACCCCAGCTCCGCAGCCTCGCTGGGTATGATGTGATGGTGCGTGTCTGCCCCAGGTCCAGGAGTTCGAGCATGTCAACGGGAAGTACAGCACCCTGGATCTGATCCTCGAGGGCCCGGACAGCAAGAAATGCAGCGAGATTGTGTCTTCAGATCCCAACACCCCAGTCCCAGCCAGCCCAGCCCCGCTGCAGACGGGCCCGGTGGCCCTGGCAGGTCGGTGTGCCCACGGCTGCGGGGGACGGTGGCTGGGGTCTGGGCGGGCAGGAGGATGGTCAGGGCACCCGGAGGTCTGGCAGGTGCCTGCCCGGGCAGCATGTGCCACCCTCGGGGCCCTGTTCAATGGCTGCCTTGCTTTGCTGTTGCTGCAGATAAAACAGAAACACAGCTTGGGTTCCAGGAGGAAAAGGACCAAGCGGAGCAGAAGCCCAGGAAGGTGTCGGACAGCTGGGTAGGGTGGCTTCTTCCAGCAGCTCCTCCGGGAGGCCTTCTTGTGGGCTGCCCGGAAAAAG